TTATGGCATTTGACACACCGGTGACATAATGTTCAGTATCACAGCAACCCCAAGTTATCTCAAATCGACAGACAAGTGCTATATAACCTAGAATAATGTTCTTTCCAAACACAACCAACTTTTAAATACAAAGGCCCACCAGTTCTTGATTAACATAAACAAGAGGTTTCTAGCCCACACTGATTGTCAGCTAAATCCAGTAAATCTAGGTAACCAATCAGCTCACACAGGATTGTGAATGAAATAAAGAACAACCAGAGAACCTACCCCGCCCCCCTTAACTGGAGACTTAGTAGGGACTCAACTGGCTTTTAAGCACCTGCTAAATACATAAAACAATTGTTAACAGAATTGAAGGAATAGACAACACTACAATACTGGTAAAGACTTTAACACACCATTCACATAAAAGGGTAGGTCAACTCAAAAGAAACTTAACAAAAAGGCAGAAGATCTAAACTATACATTCAGCAAACTCAACCTTGTGGATGTATTCTGTGCCCTGCACCCAAAATTCACTTTCTTCTCAAGTGCACATGGTATGTTTTCCAGAATTAATCACAATCTTTAGAAAGGAAATTAGGAGGGTGGGGGAAGACAGGAAACTTGAAGAACAAAAGCTGAAATCAATAAGAGAGAGATCAGAAAAACAATTGAAAATGTCAACAAAACCAAGAGCTGATTTTTTGGCAAGGTCAATAAAATCAACAAACCATTGGCGAACTTAACAAAAGAAATAAAGCAGAAGACAAAAATAAGTCAATTAAGGAATTATAGAGGTGACATCACAACAGAACCAGAGGAAGTGAAATAGATAATATCAGAATACTATGAAAAGATATACTCTGATAGATTTAAAAACCTAGAGGAAATGGACAAATTCCTTGAAAATCATGCCCTACTCAAACTGACATGGATAGATGTACAACACTTGAACAGAGCCATCACAAAATAAATTGAGCAGGTCATAAAAAAACCACACAAGAAAGTCCTGGACCAAATACTACATGGCTGAATTCTACAAAACATTCAGAGAGGATCTATTACCAATTCTAATTATTTTAAAAAATAGCTAAAGAGGGAACACTCACCAGAGACAGTCTATGAAGGAAGTATAATCCTAATTCCAAAGCCAGGCAAAAATATTACAAAAAAAGAAAACTACAGGCCAATATCTCTCATGAACATAGAGGTAAAAATTCTTTACAAAATCCTAGTCAATAGAATCCAAAATCACATAAAAAAATTAATCAAGACCAAGTAGAATTCATAACAAATTTGCAAGGATGATTCAATATAAGAAAAACAATCAATATAATTCACCATATTAACAAAGCAAATAACAAGAACTGTATGATCTTATCAATTGATGCAGAAAATGCATTTGAAAAAAATCCAACACCCTTTCCTGATTAAGACACTAAGCAAAATTGGAATAAAAGGGAATTTCCTCAACATAGTGATATTTGCAAAACCATGAGCCAGTAACATTCTCAATGGAGAAAGACTAAAAGCATTTTCCTTGCAGACAGGGACCAGATAAGGATTCCCACTGACACCACTTCTATTCAATATTGTATTGCAAGTGCTTGCTAGGACAAGAGAAGGAAATAAAATGCATCCAGATCTTCAAAGAAATAGTTAAACTGTGGCTATATGCAGATGGTACTATGGTGTTCACAGAAAACTCCAAGGAATCAATAAAAAAAAAACAAAAAACACCTGTTAGAGCTAGTGGACCAATTTCGTAGGATTTAATTTGGCAAAATATAAGATCAATATCCAAATGTTAGTAGAATTCCTTTACAGAAATAAAGATAACTCAGAGAAGGAAACCAAGAAAGCAATACCATTTATGATGTTGTTATAGATCATCTGTGACACAGAGACCCTATATACAGCAGCTCTGAAGCCTGCTCTGTCTGAGCCAGTCTCACTGATTCAGAGACAGCTATCCTCACTGCCCCAGTCACTATATCAATTCATCTTATTTAGTGTTTTTCTCTCTTGTGCTGTCCCTTCACCTTTCCAAGCATGATGTTCTCCAAGAACTGGACTATCCTAGCCACATGTCCCAAAGCATGTGAGATGGAGCTTCAAAAATTCTAGCCTCCAAGGAGAAACTTGGTTTTGACCTCTCTAAGGCAGACCTATTTTTTTCTTGACAGTCCATGGTATGTTCAAGTCTCTTCTCTAGCACCACAACTCAAAAAGGCATTGATTCTTCTTCTTCATCTTTAGTCTTAACCAACCACAAATTGAGATAGTTGAGAATTAACCTAAATAGAGACACAGAAGACCTGTACAAAGAAAACTACAGATCGTTTCTGCAAGACACAATAAAAACGTTTTTAAAAAATGGGAAAATGTGCCCTGTTCATGGAAAGAAAAACACATTACTGTGAAAATGACAATTCTACCAAAAGCAATCTACATGTTCAACACAATCTCAATACAGATACTAACTTCACTTTTCAAGAAGATGAAAAGGGAAACTGTCAAGTTTATTTGGAGGGGAAAGAGACCCTGAATAAGCAAAGCCCTTTTGAAAAACGAGGTGGAGGCATTAACACTCCCTGACCTCAAAACCCTACTACACAGCAGTAGTAACCAAAACAACATGGTACTGGAACAATGACAGACACATAGATCAATGGAACAGAATCAAGAACCTAGAAATGGATCTCTCTATGTGCAACTGATATTCAACAAGGAAATAAAAATCTACCAAATGGAGAAATGACAATGTCTTCAACAAATGGTGCTGGCAAAACTGAACTGCTACCTTCAGAAAGCTGAAACAAGATTCACATCTCACACTATATGAAAGTCAACTCAAGGTGGATTAGAGACATGGGAATAAAGCCTAAAACCATAAAGTTCATTAGAGACAAACTGTAACCAATCTTAGAATGCCTAGTCTATAGTATAGAGACTGACAAATACAACCAGAAATGTACCATCTGGAGAGGGAAAAAAATGATGACTGGATTGAGAAATTGTGGTACATTCACACAATGGAATATTACGCAGCACCAGGAGCAACAATTTTGAAAAATCCTACTTAACTTGGGAGAGGCTGAAGAGCATTATGCTGAATGAACTAACGCATTCTCACAAGGACAAATACTGCATAAGACCATTATTGTAAAAATAGAAGGATAAATAGTAAATCATGTATGGGAACTCAAGGTGGGGGGAGGTGTTGAGGCTGAGTAGGGGTGAAACCATAGGATTAATTAGTTTGGTGGGTGGAGGGAGAGGAAGGAAATGGAGGAAAGGATCTGGGTAAAAAGACAAAGTAATGATGCGCAAAGTCCAATGGTGATTAATTTTATGAAACAATGTGTGAGAATGATTGTATGAAACACAATGTGAATTAAGAATAGTTTGAAACACATTGAATATGAACTTTGTAAAAATCCTCAATTTTAAAAAGTGATGAATCGGACTTAAGAAAGATTAAATCTCTGTGCTCAAAAACTTTTTCCAACAGGGTAAAAAAAAAAACCCATACTGACTGAGAACAAACATCTGGCCATACTATCTCAAACAAGGGCCTCATGACAAAAGTTTAAAGAATACTCGTGGCCCTCCAGAGAAAAAAGACTAATAACGCAATTACCAAATGGGCAAAAGACATGGACTTTTCACAGAAGATAGGTGGTAAATACATACATTTTAAAAAAACACTCAAAATCACTGGCAATAAAGAGAGATGCAAGTCAAACTCACAATGAGATACCATTTTACCCCATTAAAAGTGGCAAAGTAGGAAATCTCATTCACTATTGGGGGGATTGTAAAATGGTACAACCACTCTGGAAGACAGTTTTGACTTTCCTCAAAAAGTTGAACATATACGCACGCGGTTCAAATCCACCAGATTCTCTGCTGGAGAAGGAGGGGGCAATCTCCTCCTGTATCAGTCAGATCTGATTTGACGGTACACGTAAAATAATACAATAAAAAAAAAAGTTGAACATAGAAACTCTGTATGACCCATCTATTCCACTACTAGAAATTTATAAGGAAATTATAACTGAAACATAAATGGAGGTTTGTATACTAACATTCATAGTAGGGCTAGTTACCATAGCAAGAAAAGGAAAAAGGCCCAAATATCCAACCACATCTGAATAGTTGAGAAATAGTGGTACATTCACATAGTGGAACATGCTGCAGCACTCAGGAGCAATGATTTCAAAAAAATATTACACAACCTGGTAGAGACTGGAGAGGATTACACTGAGTGAACTAACTCAGTCTCATAAGGACAAATACCGCATACGACCTTTCTTGTAAAAATAGGATAACTAGAAAAACATGTATGGAAACCCAAGGAAGGAATGGGTGGAGCGGAGGGGTAAGAATGAGTAGGGGCAAATCCACAGGGTTGCACAGTTTGGTGGATCAAGAAGAGGGTGAAGGAAAGGGAAGAATCTGGGGAAAAAAGACAGGGTAATGATGGGCAAAGTTCAATGGTAATAAATTTTATGAAACACAATGCATGAGTACGATTGTTTGAAATACAATATGAATTAACAGTGTGAAACACTTTGGAGCCAAATAAATAATAATAAATAAGAAAAAGTATGAGTAACTAAAAAATGAGGCAGAAGAAAGTGAATGTAGTATTGAGCTAAAAATCCCTGTCAAATAATCCAGGAACAGGAGTTCCCCTGAGGAGGCGTCTGCATCGATGATGCCATCAAGCACATTTATAAACAAGAAAAAGAGCCTCCATGCTCACAGATGTTCTCCATGAAGAGAACCTCATCTCCATGATGAAATCCCAAACTTTTAGAAAAAACACAACTGTGAGGAAAAAATCTCCTCTATCCAAAAGTATAGACTTCTGGTCTATCTTTGAACCCTAAAGGAAGAGAGAAACCTGGACATTTTAAATCAAACTTTTACACTCCTTGGCGTGGAGTGAAGTTTTCTTCTGGTCCAAATAGCCCTCTCCCCAGGAAGATGAGGACAGATATGGTACTCACCTGTCATCAGGGTGTAGTAATTGGGATAAGAGAGAGAAGGGAATGCTGGGGTCAAGTAGTCCACTTTTACTCCCCTGTTCACAATCTCTCTGAAACCAGGCAAGGACTCCAGGGCCTCATCGCTGATGTAATCTGAGCGAAAACCATCCAACAGAAACACCAGGAGCTTCCGGCGGGCAGAGGCTGGCTGAGCCAGGCTGAGTCCAAGGACGAGCAGGAGGAGGGCCCCAACCTTCACTGCCATGCTGCCAGGCTGACACAGCTGTCCTTTTGCAAACACTGAGGATGGAGAATCTGTTACTGTTCTCTCTTCTAGGGGCTGGGCTTTGAGCTGCTGGCCTTACTTAGAAAAGATCACTTGCAGAATTTAAAGGTACAGCACTGGAGGAAGAATGTCACAGTTGCCCCCAGGCCTGATCACTCCTTGAAGAAACTTGATAATGTCTATCTCCTGATAAGGCCACCAAACCAAACAACAGGATCCTATTAAGGCTCTCCCTGTGATCACAAAAGCCCACAACCAAGTTCACTGGCAGGAACTTTCCCTAGTCCTCCTTTGTCGTTGTTGTTGTTGTTATGCACCTGTGACTCAACCCTGCTTTATCGTGTGCCGAGCTTGTTGTCTCTGACCCACCTGTCCCCATTACCCCAGACACTGAACCAGTCCATCTCATTGAGGGTCTTCCTCTCCTGTGCTGTCCCTCCAGCTTCCCAAGCATGACGTCCCTTTCCAAGGACTGGTTCTTCCAAGTCCAAAGTATGTCAGATGAAGCTTCAGAAACCTTGCCTCTAAAGAGCAGCTGGGTTTGAACCTCTCTAGGATGAACCTGTTCATTCTCCTAGCAGTCTATGGTATATTCAATATTTTTAGTTGCAGAGGGGCTTGTAAGCCTTTTGTTCATAGGGCCACCAAAAGTCATGCTCAACTTGAAGACAATCAACAACATCAACAGCTTCTCCAGCACCACAGCTCAAAGGCATCAATTCTCCTCCTATCATCCCTAGTCATTGTCCAGCTTTCTGATACATAACAAGTAATTGCAAAGACTATGGCCTGGATCAGGCACACCTTAGTCTCCAGACTGACACTGTTGCTCTTCAGTGCTTTGGAGGTGTGTCTGGAAGCAGACTTTTCCAATGCAATTTGTCTTTTAATTTCCTGGCTGTTGGTACCAAGAGTGTTGATTGTGGAGCTAAGCAAACTGAAGCAATAAACACTCTCAGTCTCTGCACCATCTATCGTGATATTGCTGATCAGTCCAGTGGGGAGAATTTTTGTTTTCTTGATGTTGAGATTCAATCCATACTGAAGGCTGCAGTCCTTGGCCTTCTGCAACAAGTGCTTCAGGTCCTCCTAAGTTCAGCAAACAGGGTTGTGTCATCTGTATAACGCAGATTGAGTCTCCAGTCCTGATGCCACATTTCTCCTCATTGAGCCCAGCCTTCTGGATAATCTGTTCTGCATCTAGTTTGAAAAGGTATGGAGATAGGACATATCTCTGGTGAACACCCTTCCCAATAACTTTGCAGTGTTTCCTTGCTATGTTTGGACAACTGTCTCCTAGTCCAAGTCTAGGTTTCTCATAAGCACAATCGAGTGTTTGGGATTCCCAGTTCTTCTCATTTTTAGTCCTCCCCAAAACCTCTTAAAAAACAAACTGTCCCTATCTGGCCTTGTACCATTTTGACCCTTTCTGCACAGGGTCACTTGGCATCCCTCTCAGAACACAATATAAAGGCCTATTCGTTTCCTGGGACCAGCTTCTTTCTTCTCTCTTTATATCTGATACTATCACTTCTTTTGAAACCCACACTCTCTTTAATACCACTTTCCCTTTATAGGTATTTCTGTTCTTCTGCTGGTATCTCACCTATGTCTTTAATGCCTAACTTTTAAAAATATTGTAGTTGAGTCTTGTGGGGCTTTGTTTGTTTATGTGTATATTTTGTTTTGTTTTTCTCCAGAGTGGCAATCTTCAGTTTTTATTCGGGACACTTTGTTCACTTATTTCTAGTTACTCCTGACATGGTTTGATTTATATTTACTATCTAGGTAATTGTTTTTCTGTCTCACCTGTTTTATTCCCTTGACCATTTTCCCTGTTTTCTTTTGAGTTAAATTTGTCTTTTTAGTAGTCTGTTTTATTTTTCATATTGGATTTTTAAAGAGATTTTTGTGACATAGTCTGTAGCATGTTGGCTACATATCAAAAGGCCTTGTATCTCTGGCAGCTTGAATCCACTTTCTTCCATGGAAGAAACATGGACAATCTCCTCCATGTTAAGATTTACAGCCTCTGAAACCTAATGGAGAATTATAAGAAGGAATTGTCTCAATGGCAGTAAGCTTGAACTTTGAGTATGAAGAATGGATTTAAGTTGTACCTCTGCATTATTTTAACATATACTTTTCTATGCATTATGATGTACATCTTTATTCCAGTCTATTTAGAATGATATTTTATCTCTATGAATTTTACTTTTCACACTTGACTCTCTTCTTCATGAAATGAAAAAACCCTCACACCAACACAGAATTTAAACATCCTATTTTAGTCTTTTAAACTGTTGTTTTAATATATTTTTATTCTTTGTAAGTTTTGAATTCCATAATGCACGGCTGTTATTCAGGCTTTTTGTTTGTTTGTTTCTGTTTCAACAAATATGTTGTTGTTGTTGTTGTTATGTGCAATCAAGTTGCCTGAGACTCATAACAACCCTATGTACAACAGCCCTAAACCCTGCTCTATCCATTGCCAATCTTGTCTCTGACACACCTATCCTCATTACCCCAGTCACTGAATCAATCCATCTCATTGAGGATCTTCCTCTCCTGTGTTGTCCTTCTACCCTCCCAATGATGACATCCCTTTCCAAGGACTGATCTCGCCTTGCAACCTGTCCAAAGTATGTCAGATGAAGCTTCAGAATCCTTGCCTCCAAGGAGCCGCCTGGCTTCGCCCTCTCCAGGATGAACTTGTTTGTTCTCCTAGCAGAGGATGGTATATTCAATACTCTTCTCCAGCACCACAGCTCAAAGGCATCAACTCTCCTTCTTTCATCCCTAATCATTGTCCAGCTTTCTTATGCATAGCAAGTAATTGCAAAGACCATGGCCTGGATCAGGTGCACCTTAGTTTCCAGACTGACATTGTTGCTCTTCAGTACTTTGGAGCGGTCTCTGACAGCCGACTTTCCCAGTGCAATTTCATCTTTTAAATTTATTTTTTTAATTTTATTATTTTAGTGTGCGTGTACCGTCAAATCAGATCTGACTGGTACA